ACTTTCTGCTAGTTGGGCGTCTCACTAGGATCCAGGTAGGGAGGGACAACACGCCTTCAGGAAGAGTCTCAATATTACATATAGCAATTCAGACTTCCCTACAGTGACCAAGGGAGTTGGCAGGATAGAAGTATCATGTCTAATTGACACAAGAGTGAGATGTCAACTGCCACTCACCAGTTTTTCCATGAGCATCATGCTGATGGGAGTGAGCTGTTTAATGTCTCTTAACTCATCCGTTTCTCCATGAATCAGGCATCGTTTATCATGGCTACATTGAGCTCTCCCTAACTAGCCTCAATCACACTCTGTATAGTCTGAGGTTTTTGGTAATTTGTGACCTAAAGAAGCTGCACATGGTGTTAGGTTGATCTTATTAAGAGACAACTTGATGTGCTTGAAAACTTTACATGGTTACTGCTGTGACTAGCACATTACAAAGTTGACAGATGGGGCTCAGAGGTCTCATGATATATTGAACCCTGGAACTGTTTAAGGTACATGGGTGTACATTCACCCCAATAGGCACCATTACAGTTCTTGAAGGTTCATGCCAGCCATTTCCAACTAGTCAACATCAGGTCTTGGTAGAATGTCATGTGTGACTTACAGCAGATCCACCTTATCACCATGGAAGAAAAGGGCCAGACACCCACGGGGATTGTCAATTTCAGCAACAAAGATGCTTCTCTCCAACCAACGATTCCCATTGGTGTCCGTAATGCTCCCACTGTTGTGAATAGTATACTCACAGGAGGAGACTTCTCTACCTCATTTTAAAAGATAGACACTGGTGAGTTGGAGGAAACCCAGAGGAAGCAGTTTGATTTTATTCTCACCAAGTGCAGAACAACTTTCAGTAAAGGCGATGATGACATTGGGTACATGACCTGGTGACCCACAGGATCATGACTAAAGATGACCGTCCAGTGAGGGTTCCTTACTGCCAGATCCCACCCTATCACTGGGAGGAAGTCTGGGAATACCTGCAGAACTCTTTGGAGTGAGGTGTCATCCGAGAGTCATCAAGACCGTACACCTCCCCCATAGTTAATCATAAGGAGGAGAAACAGAAAACTGGGGATCTGTGTTGATTATCGAGCACTCAACACAAAGGCTGCTGACCCTTTATGTAGGATTTAGGAACTAGTTCTCAAATGTGTAAAATATTCCTGCAGTCTCAATTTGGACCACATTTATAAACAGCTACCCATCACTGAACAAGACACTGTGAAGATGGCATTCCAAATGGGCACCAATTAACTTTATAAATACATGAGAATGCCATTTGGGTTCTGTAATGCCCCTGCCACCTTCATGCCTGAGATGGATAAAGCTTTAGGTGAGACTTAATTTCCAGTCCCTCCTGACATATCAGGACAAAATGTTCATGTTGGCATTTGAAAAGACCGTTGCAGAACTAGACACTGCCCTGGTCCAATTGTCATAGTTTAACCTGAAAATCAAACCAGAGAAGTGACAACCTTTCCAGACAAATGTATAGAAACCTGAGCACTATGTTACCAAGGAAGGCATTCCTCCCAACAATGAGAAAGTCTGACTGATAGAGGAGTAGCACTGGCAGAGAGGCAGGTGGTTGCTATATGAGGTTTTGTGCAAGGCTATATACAGATGGACATTCCATTGATGCCCTTCATGGAAGACTGACCATGTGAGGGAACCCACTCCTGCCCATTTGATTGTGAAGTAACTTCACCCCAGCATGGGATCCCTGGATGGCAAGAGACCTCTAGAGGTCCATGCAGTAACTAGAATTGAGTCAAAGAATCCTACAGCACGGAGATGGGCCCTTTGGCCCAAACTGGTCTGTGCTGACCAAAATATCCATCCACACTAAACCCATTTCCCTGCACATGGCCCATTTCCTTCTAACCCTTTCCTATCCATGTATTTGCCTAAATGCCTTTTAAATATTGTTAATGTACCTGCCTCAAACTCTTCCGCTGGCAGCTCATTCCATAAGCTTACCAACTTCTGTGTAAAAAAGTTGCCCCTCAGGTTCCCATGTATTCTTTCCCCTCTTACCTTAAACTGATGCCCTCTAGTCCTCGATTCCACAACCCTGGGAAAATGACTGACGGCATTCATCCTATCCATGCCTCTCATGATCTTATACACTTCTATAAGATTCCCCCTCAGTCTCCTATACTCTAAAGGAAAACATCCTAGCTTGCCCAACCTCTCCCTATAATTCAGTCCCTTGAGTCCTGGCAACATGCTTGTAAATTTCTTCTGCACTCTCTCCAGTTTAAAACATTCTTCCTATAGCAAGGTGACCAAAACCTAACACAATAATCCAAATGAAGCCTCACCAGCATCATGTACAACTGCAACATAACTTCCGAACTTCTATACTCAATGCCCTGACTGTATGCCAAAAGCCTTCTTCACTGCCCTGTCTACCTGTGACTTCAATTTCAGAGGAACGCGCACCTGAACTCCAAAGTCTCTCCCTTCCACTACACTCATTACGGCCCTACCATTCACCAGGAAACTCCTACCTGGATTTGACTTTCCAAAGTGCGACACCTCACACTTAGCTATATTAAACTCCATTTGCCATTTCTCGGCCCACTTCCCCAGCTGATCAAGATCCTGCTGAAATTTCTGATAACCGTCCTCACTATCTACGATACCGCCTATTTTAGTGTCATCTGCAAACTTACTAATCGTGCCTTGAACATTCTCATCCAAATCATTGATACAGATAACAAATAGCAATAGGCTAGCACTGACCTCTGAGTCACATCATTAGTCACAGGCCTCCAGTCAGACAAGCATCTTTCCGGTATTACCCTCTGTTTCCTGCCATCAAGCCAACTGTGTTTCCAATTTGCCAGTTCTCCCTGGATTCCATGTGACCTAACCTTCCAGAGCAGCATACCATGTAAAACTTTATCAAAGGCCTTACTGAAATCCATGTAGACTATTGTCTACCACCCTGCCCTCATCAACCTTCCTGGTCACTTCATCAAAGAAATCCAAAAAATTTGTGAGACATGATCTCCCACGCACAAAGCCATGCTGACTACTCCTAATCAAACCCTGTCTTTCCAATGCATTTATATCTTATCCCTTAGGATCTTCTCAAGTAACTTACCTACCAGAGATAAAAACCAAAAGAACTGTGGATGCTGTAAATCAGGAACAAAAACAAAGTTGCTGGAAAAGCTCAGCAGGTCTGGCAGCATCTGTGGAGGAGAAAACAG